CATCTCCATATGGGGTGCTGGATACGCTCCGGAAACTCATCGGATGGCTTTTCCTCCATGATCAAGGGTTGGTGATGAATAGGGCTCTGACCCTACCATCTGATCTGATCGTGGTTTGCTTCATGACAATGGTGATAGGGGGGTTGTGCTTAGGGATGAAGACGATACAGACGGCGAAAGCGATTGGGAATCCTCGTCGAAGTGAGGACTTTGTTATTCAATCTCGGCTCTGCAGACTCTGCAGTGAGAGCTGGAGGTTCGTTGTATTGAAAGGCTATGCTGAGCTGGAATGACGTACCGTTAGGATGAAGGTATGGAAGGAGGTAGCTATGGCTTTAAGAAGTAAAGTTCGTGAGTTATACTCTTAGGACTTGGATCAATGGACGAACTTGAGGATATTCCCTATTATTCTCAAGTGTGTAAATAATATGGAGATTGTTTGAATTTCCTATTGTATGAATTGCTTAATTTATCTACGTGATAGGACCTTCTTCTAGATACATGAATAAGGGGGTTCTGCACACTAGTGGATGTTCCAACATCTGTCCTTGTCTAACCGAGAAAGGAAGGATGTGAGAGATCCTAGCGCCAATAGATACCATTAGGAATCTATTAGGAATCTATTGGGAAATACTATGTCATGCCAATGAGTGATGATTTAGGAGGGCAAGACTGAACACCTGTACGCGGTGTCCTCTACCAACCTGGGAGTGAAATATTCTCCCAGAGCCAAGTTCAGTCGAATTTCGCAATACCGAACAAGTTGGCCCACGAGGCAATGATTCAAAATACTCCACCATATCAATCTTTCACTCCCAACGAAATCGATTCCTACCTAAACCTCATCAAGTTTACAAGTACGACCTAGTACATCCTAATCCCAATGACCACACCTCTTGTCGACTTTCTCTGGCCTTAGCTGGTCGCCAGATGCACGCCCACGCCGATATTTATACCCGACGGAGGAAGCAAAGCGTGGCGCACAAATCTGGAAGACAGTTCCTTGGGATGGATGTGAGAGGGATCAGGATAAGTTGATGAGATGATGCAGAGGATTGGATACAGTCTCGACAGGCGTGGAATTTTGAGTTTTGGAAAGGAGTTTTTACAAATTGAGCTTTGTGCGCGCCAAGTCTTCGGTTGCGAGAGTGCAGGCGACACTATAAACACCGCCATGTTTGGATGGTGCGGTGGTACATCGTCTTGGCCGGTCTGCCAAGTAGAGTCTGGATAGCTTGGACACATATCCCACTCGAGACAGTAGATCGCTGGTTCAAATCCGGCAAAACACAACCACGTTTCTCGCGGCGTTGGTGTGCATGGATGACGAAGACATGCTTGGATAACCAAAGGTTTTGAATTTCACTTTGGTGGGTACTAACGGAGGAGGGTCGACTGTTTGTGTAAGCAAGCATACCTCATAGTGGTATTTGCGAATGAAATCCAGAGTGTGAGTGCCTCTAACATCAAAAGAGTCATCCTACATGTATACATAGCACCGGTCATGTGTCATAGCTCCATAGCTGAATACACTTAAATGATTTAAAAAAAAAAAAAGAGTGATGATTTAGGTCAATCATATCCCATGGCGCATGTGCACATTATTCTAATGTGAACTGTTCATTGTAACGCAGTCATGTTACTCCCTTAATTACAACACGTTGGGGACACCATTGACAGGTGTTGAGAATAGTAACCAGCCTCCTGGTGTTGTTCTCTGGTATAGTTTGAGTAGCTTGGGCACCTACTCCACTTGGGAAGGAGACATCTCAAATCACATCACGCGCGGAGAAATGTGAACGGATGATGGAGGCATGTCTGGATAACTCAGGGATTTTGAGACGTTCCCCTGGATGGGTATTCACGGATGAGGGTTGACTTGGGGTGAAGAAAAAGCTACCATAACTTCGCAGTGGTACTTGCAAATAAAATCCAAGACATGAGTACTCTTCTTACAAATTTAGTCATCTTTTCTCTTCTATTCTTTGATATTGTGTCACAGCTAGATGGCTGCATACGCAATTAAAATCTGATGCAAAAAAAAAAAAAAAAAAGAGACCAGTTTAGCGACATCTACCTACGCGGCCACCAGCCTCAACAAAGTCATATTTGTGACTACTAGCGTTTTATGGCATATATTACCTGACCCGATGCCGGCGCATCTAATACTAACGTCATGGGTCAATCCAGTATCATGCAACATGGTGGGCCGAATACACTGAGTGACTAAAATGTTTTTTCTTGTTTATTTCCTAATGCGGTTCCTACACACAAGTCTATGCAGGCGTGAGGCCAAGTGGTTCAAGGGAAAAATTATGAAAGTAAAACCCATCGTTTGCCATTAGTGCACACCCTGGCACCATGAGCGAGGCGCCTCTAGATCATGCAATTTTCTATATTACCTCCTCCATCGAGGGAAAGTGTTCTCACTACAGTTTCCGAGTTTGAATGGGCTCCGGTTTCTCATTGTGACTACAATAAAGACACCAGCCATATGCTATAGCTCCGTATCCGAATACGCGCCAAATGGTAAAAAAATTTATTACTATCGCCCAATATCCACTACCATCGACACATTCTAAATCCGCCCTAGCGAAGTGATCAGCATATGGTGGTGTGGAGCCCAAGTTCTTCCGCCCTGAGCCGCTAACCTTCATGGATCTCCACCCGTCTGAGACCAACTACCCCTGATATGTTCCACCGGAAATAGCTATGTACCGGTCAATCCCCTAGGGAATGTCTGCATGTTTACTGTCCGATGGAGACTGTGATTATACAAGGATATGTAGCTCCCCCCAAACATCACTGGTCCTCATGAGCCCTCATTTGTGAAGGTTCTTTGATAAGCTGTTATTCCGTCGTGATCGCCCCTCTCCAGCCAATGAAATGGTGGCTATGTTAGGGTGAGAAGCGGCGTGGAAAAGCTTCGAAAATTGCTGGGCGTGGAGCTCTTCTAATACAGACACGAGGAATAGATGCAAAGACATAGCCACCTCTTTGACGCATTGGAAAGGGCCAACCAGCGGGGCTCTACAGATTTACGTGTACCTGAGAGAGTCATTCTCTGCCTTCTTAGCCTCCCCCTAACACCCCTAATCCGTGGCGCTGAACAAACCCAGAGCCATGAGAGAATATCAAAATAGTCTTGGTTGAAATTTAAATACAGTGAAGGAGCGTGGCATAGCGTGCAAAGGTCTTGACGGATCCAGGATTTTCCAGTAGATCATGTTATGTGGATGCTCGCCTGGCTAGTGTATTCGGAAGATGTATGGAGTTGATCTGGTCGACGAGTCATAAACAGCACTTCCCCATAGCAGAAGGGTCTTTTTCTTGCTTTCGTGGGATTTGTCTGGCCGTAGATAGACAGCATATGTTATGATATAACGAGGCCTCCTCTAGCTATCGTTGTAGCGTTTGATATGGCAATACCTCTCCTCTTTCCTCTTTCATAGAATTACTATCGTCGCCTTGACCCTGTTATTTATTGTTGTAAGCATATTTGAGAGGTAATGAGAGATAACTCTGCTTCAAGTTGAAAACATGTTACTCCATGTCGACTGCGCAGACTCTACAGTGAGAACTGGAGGTTGGTAAGGGAATCCTCGTCATATCTGGAGTTTTTACCTTCCGTGCACGGCTGTTGATCATGAGCCATAGCCAGTCGGTTTCCGGCCATGTGTGAGTGTTCAACACGACTTCGAACTGTCTCGAGGGGCAAAAGAAGGAATGAATTGAAAAGAGGGAATTAGGAAGGAAGCGAGGGACTCCTCCAGGTACATGCAAGTCTCTAGTACCTCGCTGACTGGCCTTTCCTAACGCGTCAAAGGGGTGGCTATGTCTTTGCATTTATTCCTCGTGTCTGTATTAGAAGAGCTCCACGCCCAGCAATTTTCGAAGCTTTTCCACGCCGCTTCTCACCCTAACATAGCCACCATTTCATAGGCTGGGGAGAGGCGATCACGACAGAATAACAGCTTATCAAAGAACCTTCACAAATGAGGGCTCGCGAGGACCAGTGCTGCTTGGGGAGAGCTGTATTGTAGGAGGGAGACTAATCGCACCGAAATTCTTGGCCTACAGGCTGTGAAGGCGCACGATTTTATTAGCTTAGAATGAGAAACGGCATCAATAACTAACTAATGTGTGAATTTTCGCCATAAAAATATGATGCCAGCTAAGATGTGGTCGTTCCCCGGATTCACGGCAGTTTTGTGCCAGGAGCAGTTTATTTTTGATTTAGTTGAATCTATTTAGAGAAAGAGGCTGACCCTGCATTCACTCTCAGGGCTGAATATACTCTTGAAACTATGCCCTGTGCCTGTCATGACTGGACTGTAAAAGATCTTCGGCCCCGATTGGATCAAACTTTTGGCCACACGTCTGTGTAGTCGCCTATCCCTGCTAATAGACGCACCTCTGCGACGACTGGGGTTTTGGGTGACGTTGCAGATGAAGCGACCGAAATGTCTAACAACAACGTCAAATCCGACTGTTGGTGAGGTTTGGCCCAGCTCATCGCCACTCAGGACACGTGGTTGGCAAGAACTTGCGCCGTGAATCGTTTGAATCTACTAACCACAGGTACCTGCACCATGTGGACAAGAAACTAGATTGAGGAGCTCGCTGCCTCAGCCTACTGATTACGAGTCTCCATCGCATCGATCTCGATCAGATATTCTAGCCAACCTCTCAACTTCAAATAAAGGGAATCAATATTTTCAAAGGTTTCCGTTGTGGTTTTCTAGGAGTCGGCCTCGAAATTTCATACGCAGCATCACTCCAGGTCGCAACAACGTTGAATTCAAGGTAGACTCAACGGGTAACATGAGAGGAACACAAGGTCTGCAGTAGAGATGGAGGAATTAGATGATGGAGCCTAACTGCCAGCCCATCATCAGAAACAATTCCTTACTCACGGCCCTAAGTTTTCTCCGCCAATATAACGTTTCATCCTCTAGGTCCATCACATCTGACTGGTGTGAATTAGGTTCGAACCTATTATGTGTAAAGCAGCTTATGTGTATCAGACAGCGTCGGATACAAGGCAGTGGATCCATGCGAATGGAAGTATTGGTTATATGATGTGATTTACGCTTCAATTCTCCGTCGCCATCATACGTAGGTACCGCAAACTTAACTTCAGTAATATACCCACCACTTCAAAAGTCTATTCGTACACATCAGAGACATGCGATAGCACCTCGACCCTACCGCTTCCAGACTATTCTTACCGCAAAAGTTGTGCCACTAATATTCTTCAAATTTCCACCAAATGCCCTTAAGCTTTAGGAAGATCAAGTCGTCCATTTTCCCCGAACGTTTACCAGTATTTGCTGCCGCTAAAACTCATCATGTGACGGACGAGGTAGCCCGTCAAGCTCCTTATCGGGCCCTTAACTCGTCCAAAACTTTTTCAGATAAGGATGTACCCACTGATCACTCTGGATCGTCAGCATCGCACGAGGTAGCATCCTTCAGAACACCAAATGTATTTGATAAAATCACCAAACTTGCCGGATCAAGGATAACTTTTTTATCAATCCTTATCATGATACTGATATGGCTGGTGCTTGGTCTTGTCTTTGGCATGGGCGATACGTGGCAAATCGTGTTCCAAAACGCAAGTTCTATCCAGGTATACGTAACCGACATCCTACTCATTAGGCAGCAACAAAACGCTAGTCGTGCTCTAATGGGCACTATTGCGGAACTTCAATCGCGAGGAAAGACTTTTGTACGACTATTTCCGCACATACCTGAGAGCAAGTATATAAATACATCACTTGAAGAAACACAGCAAATAAATAGTCACGTGAAGGACTTCAATGAGAAATATAATGAGAGCGAGCATATAGATACTGCTAAACCTTCTCGCTATGATTATGTTTGGATCAAGAGTTGTCAAGCTGTAGCCAAAGTACTCGGATCAGTTTGGGCCTACATCTTGTACTGGATTGGAATTGGCGTCTGGATTGCGCTTGGCCCATCGTTTAAATTCAGCAATACCTGGCAACTATATGTAAATACGGCCACGGCCCTCGTATTAACTTTTACTTCGGTCTTCCTGCAGAACATCCAGCAAAGCCAGGAAGATAAGCTAGCTAAGCTTCTAGAGCAAGCTATTAAGATTGACATAGTAATTGAACAAAATCTTCGCGCATTAACTGGTGACCAAAGACTTAATCCGATATTTACAATACCTGTCCCTACTCGCTCGGTCATAGAACGCCTTATTGATGGTTTCGCCGATATAATGGGCTCAGGTGTTGGTGTAATTATTTCCTTGCTCTTCACAGCTGTGTGGGTCGGTGTCGGCCCCAAACTAAAATTTGATGACAACTGGTGGCTGATTATCGGCACTTTCACGGGACTTGTTGGATTTATTGATGGATTCGTTTTGCGCTCGCTCTACTATGGCGAGGAGGTTAATACCAAAATCCAATTCCAGGACCTTGCAGAAGCCGATAGTGCCGTTCTTCAAAGACTGAATATTCCTTACACCCCTCTCGAAAAGCCAAAAAAAGGTCGGGCCGAGAGCATTTCCCTCATCATCAGCGATATTTGTGGACATCGATACGCCTCTATTGGTTCGGTTGGAGTTGTAATTGGACTTTTGGTGGCTGCTTCAGCTATGCTCTGGTCTGAAACAGCCCAGTTACTGTGCAACACGCCAACCATGATCGTTGAAGGATTTTTACTGCTCGTGCTCATCCAGGCTCACAATCACACCAATGACGAGAGAAAGAGCGACTTTGGCGGCTTACTCAAGAGGAAGCTCCTGTTACAAGAATTTATACAAACTTTAGATTAGATATTGGTAAGCCCCAAAATTAAGGATTATGTCAAGAGACAATTTCTTACGCTTCAATTTTTTCATATTACCCAGTATGGGCACTGAATTCTGCTGGCATGTAACCTCATAGGACTTTTATATAGAAAGAATAGTAATATTAATGAGGAATGAATTTGTATAGCGTCCTGGAAAGCTTGATGTATAAAAAATCAAGCCAATTGACAAGTAGTAACTGAAAGTAGTGCCAAGCTCTATGCTACTCTAGGTTGGATGAAGAGTGGAAATAAACTAAAATTCTGCCAGCGGTCTCCACAATCAGCCTTCAGCTCTCATTGTAGAGTCTGCAGAGCCGAGATTGAGTAACAAAGTCCTCACTTCGACGAGGATTCCCAATCGCTTTCGCCGTCTGTATCGTCTTCATCCCTAAGCACAACCCCCCTATCACCATTGTCATGAAGCTAACCACGATCAGATCAGATGGTAGGGTCAGAGCCCTATTCATCACCAACCCTTGATCATGGAGGAAAAGCCATCCGATGAGTTTCCGGAGCGTATCCAGCACCCCATATGGAGATGGTGGATTGGATCAAGTCGGCCTCAACTGTTACAAAGAAGGGAGATATAGATGAATATGCGCACCTCATGTGGTCCCTGTGTCTAGGCCTCGCCTGGCTGGGGCTGCAGGTTTTTTGAGACTTTTTCCGGCGCACGCAGTTTCCATTGCTACCATTTTTATTTTTTTTGGGTAGAAGGTTCCGTAGAAAAGGTGGCCGAATTCCCCGGGTAAACACTGAGCTGAGTGGCTATTCATCAAGGGGAATATATCAATGATCTTTCAAGAAACATGAGAGGCAAGGAGCACTGTACAAGGTGAGGCCTGGGTCAGAGAGGGGCCCAATGTGCTAGATAGTTTATGACCCAAGTAACATAATAAACACACATACACACACTATTCCAGGTTGGATGGAGAGTGGAGATAAACTAGAATTCTGCCAGCGGTCTCCACAATCAGCCTTCAGCTCTCACCGTCAACCCTATAGAGCTGAGTGCTGAATCTTTCTTTTGCCATTTATCCGAAAATTCATGCCATGCAGCGAAAACTTAGATTAGTACCCAGACTTGCGCTGCGTAGATGGATTCCATGGTGTTTATCGCGAATGTAATCGGGAAAGGCCAATTCTGACGGTCAAGGAGATTTAAATAATTCAATGTGTATTTAGCTCGAGAGCTATGACAATTGACCAATGTCATTTTTACCCGTAAAATGTGCCTTTTGAGTTGAAAGACGCTTATATTCTGCATCTCCTTTGCAAATACCACTACGAGGCGTTGAGTCGCTGCCCATTCCGGGTAATGTATCAATGATCTGTGAAGTATCAGAAAAGGTTAGGAGCACTTTACAAATTGTGGCTTGGCTCGGAGAGGTACCCCATGTGCTAGATGCTCAGACTCTAGTAACACCATGACCACAAAAATCACACACCACTCGACCCTCCTCCATGAGTTTTGACCAACGGAGATTGGGTAATTTCGATCAAGGTGTATCCTCGTCATTCATGCACTCCAGCAGCGCGAGGTTTGTGCTTGAGTGCTGCCGGATGCGACCCAGCCGTCTTCTATCTCGAGTGGGATAGGTGTCCGAGCTATCCAGATTCTCAATAGGGGACCAATGCGTGTGATGTACCACTACGCCATCCAGCCATGATAGTGTCTCGTGTGTCGCCGGCACGCTCGCCATCGAAGCCGCGTAGTGAACGATGCTCAATCTGGAAAGCTCCCTTTATTGAGAGAAAATGGCCCCATAGTTAGGTTGGATGGTACAGTGGTACACTATCTAGGCCGTTCTCCCGAGTAGATACTGGGTAGCTTGAACACCTAACCCCATTTGATACAGGAAAAAGCTGGTTCGAATCCTGTTAAACCCACACACCACTCTCTCGCGAGGTGATATAGTACTTGAGGGATGATGAAAGCTATCTCGGATAGCCACAGGGCTGTCACGCTTTTCCCTGTGGTGGGTATGTACAGAAGAGGTTATACGCCGCAAGGGCTAACCTCGAGTGGTATCTGCAAATGAAATGTGAGTGTTCTAAATGTCAAATTGAGTCGTCCTACTTAAAGCACATATCATCCGATAAGAACTTGCACGGGCCTCAAGGCGCCAAATCAGGACAAAATGAATTATATATAAGGCCCTACAGTCGTTGAGGCTGTTGAGCGCATTCAAGGAGCCATCGATGTGAGAATGTGTACATTATTGTACGTCACGTGCGTGTCAACAACCTGGTCTTCCTGACGAGCCCAATAATTCCCATTTCTAACGGCTGGGCAAGATTCGAAATCTCAGCCCTCCCGACACTGCATTCATCACCGGTGCCATTTTCTCTCTCCCTCTATTGATATCTTAACGCCTATTCCCAAAATCTGGCTGCCGCATTTGTGCTCCACACGCTGACTTCTCCGGCTGGTATTCAAATTCTTGCGGACGTGTGGTTGTAGAAGTGAAGACGCACTAGGCTGTGCGTTTAGACTGAATGATGCCTTGATGAGAATTGATCTGGGCGGGAGTGAGATATTAGTGTCGTGAACAGTCCTGAAGCTGGGCCAACTTCTGTGACATCGCTAGATATGACTGAACTCGGCTCTGGAGTGAATTTCCCTCGCAGATGCTTGTTTAGTGCCTGTTCCCGAGACGAGGGAATTGCGTATTTATAACTCGCGCCATTGACTCTTGGCGGCTATTTGGATGATTCGGCCTACCTTCACAATGCTCACAACTTACCTGCAGTAGTAGCACCTATTTACAAAATCTTACTCCACAATTGTATGCCTAATCGCCCTACTTCCTAATATGATAGGCCATGCTACTCTCCGATAAATCGGGCATTATTAGACTCATAGATAGGGCCAAATTAGTTTGTAAAACTAGGATTTAACTACAAACCTTCTCACGTCGAGCCGAGGTATCTCTTCAGCCTTCCAAGATGAGATTATGAAAATACCTACGACTCCAACGAGGATAAAAGGAGGACAGAGAATGAACATCCGTCCGCCGTGTCCTCTACGAGCCTGGCGGGGAAATATTCCCCCAGACCCATGATTCAGTCACGACAAGGGGTGAATTTGAGGGTTCTCGTCGAGTTGGCGATGGGGAGGAGTGGTGTTGGCTCATTTTCGGTCAAAAATCCGACTTGCAGAGATTTCACGACCGCACAACTCAACGAAATCAACCATCTGCACCCCAGATACGAACCGCCGACAGGCTACGACCTATCTGCTGCTCGTATTACAACAATCGATACCTTTAAGTTCTTTTTTCCCCGGAAAATCTCTCTCCGAAATCATCTCACCACCCACCCAAGCAAACCCTTACCTCCAGAAGTCAAAGCGCCAACAAAGAAGTAAGGGGATGTACGACCCAACTCAACTGTCAATCGCTGTGAAGGTACGGTCGAAATACCGGCCTTATATGCGTCCTCAACTCGGCCAAGGGCACCAACAACTCGACCTACGACGAATCGCCACCGACGAAATACGTACGGGAGAGCAAGACTGAACACCTGTACGCGGTGTCCTCTACGAACCTGGGAGTGAAATATTCTCCCAGAGCCAAGTTCAGTCAAATTTCGCAATACCGAACAAGTTGGCCCACGAGGCAATGATTCAAAATACTCCACCATATCAATCTTTCACTCCCAACGAAATCGATTCCTACCTAAGCCTCATCAAGTCTACAAGTATGACTAAGTACATCCTCGTTCCAATGACCATACCTCTTGTCGACTTTCTCTGGCCTTAGCTGGTTGCCAGACATACGCCCACGCTGATATTTACACCCGACGGAAGAAGCAAAGCGTGGCGCACAAACCTGGAAGACAGTTCCTTGGGATGGATGTGAGAGGGATCAGGATAACTTGATAAGATGATGCAGAGGATTGGACACATTCTTGACGGGCGTGAATTTCGAATTCTGGCATGGAGTTTTTACAAATTGAGCTTTGTGCGTGCCAAGTCTTCGGTTGCAAGAGTGCAGGCGACACTATAAACATCGCCGTGGTTTGATGGTGCGGTGGTACATCGTCTTGGACGGTCTATCAAGTAGGGTCTGGATAGCTTGGACACATATCTCACTCTAGACAGTAGATCGCTGGTTCAAATCCGGCAAAACACAACCACGTCTCTCGCGGCGCTGGTATACATGGATGAAGAAGGCATGCTTGGATAATCAAAGGTTTTGAATTTCCCTTTGGTGGGTACTAACGGAGGAGGGTCGACTGTTTATGTAAGCGAACATACCTCAAAGTGGTATTTGCAAATAAAATCCAGAGTATGAATTTCTCTAACATCAAAAGAGTCATCCAACATGTATACATAGCACCGGTCATGTGTCATAGCTAGATAGTTGAATACACATTAAATGATTTAAAAAAAAAAGGTTGTTGTGTGTCCCTTGGGAGCACAGACCCGTGTCACGTCCATTGGATGGAGGGCGTAAGCCTGATACAAAATGCATTCAATTCAATTGTATGGAAAGAGCACTGAGAGACTGGCTCGACCACCGTAGTGCAGAATACATTATTCTTCCCTTGTGCGTAGTTAGTAGTAAACATAGTTCACACACACAAACACACCCAAATTTTTTTTAAATTCGAATTTTCGAATATCCCCATTTTCCCCCTCTCCCTCCCTCTCTCGATATCGTGATATTGTTCACTCTCAATTCAAAATTTATGAGCGGCTGGTAGGCTACCAACATGCCCCCAGTTCGCAGTAAGCCATCGCGTGCGAAAGACATCGTAGATAACCGCAAGAACCTCAAACACGTTGCTCGATAGAAAGCAAGCGATATAATGGGTCCACTGACTACCGTTCAAGAGATGAATATCGGCCAGTTGATCGACGAAAGTACCATAGATTACGATATGGTAGATGTTGGCAGCTTTGATATTGACGAGATTCTTAAGAATCTGAAAAGACTACCCAACTTAATTCACTCCAAGCCAGATGCGACCAGAGCT